TGTAGGGCGTTCCCGAAGATGTCAGCTTCTGTTGTTATGTTTAAGCATAAAGCATTACATGATTTATTGAACAGTGGTTTTGATGAACTCATAAATCTTGTTCAAGACATGCTGCCAGAGAATAACACACTTCTAAACTCATTTTATGAAATGAAAAAACTTGTTAATACATTTGATTTTGGCTATGAAAAGATAAATGTTTGCCTTGACGATTGTTGTCTATTAAAAAAGAAGCTTGAGCATGCTGAATTATGTCCAAAATGTGGTTGCTTATGCTCACATAAACATATGAATTAATTCAAAAGATCAGTTAGTAAGGCAAAAAAAAAATGTAGAACCACTTCCGTTAATCTTCTATCCCAGACTAAAGTAAAATTACTAACAATTAAAATCTAGATTTTAATCTAAATCAAAGTCAACAATTTATTTTAACCACATATTTTATGTATCCCACAACTTTTCAACTACACGTTTTATCAACTTCTATCAAAATCTACTAAAAATCTAATTTTAATCCACACCAAACAGAGGCTAAGCCACCACCAACCGTCGGATTAGTCAAACAATCCATCCAAGAGTCTCTATGAGTTGTGATGACCATTTACTTATATACCCATATACGTGGTTGTGCAACACTGCAGATACCATTCATTCGCTTAAATCATGAAGTTACGTCATGATGCCAAAGTACACATGATTGGTACTTCTTCAAACATACCCCAAAAACATAATATAAAAAGTATAAAGGCACATGTTGAACACCTAATAATTTCAGACAGTTACGAACAAGCTCGATGGCAGTTATTATGAACATCATGTATATTTGAAAATAGCATTATGTTTAAACAAAGGAGGTATGAATTGAAGGCATGTGTCAGACACCTAGCAATGTAACTAGAACTTGTTTATTCAATATGGTGGACCCAGTTACTGAAATTCTATGTATAAAATTTACTTGGACACTGTCTATATTGAGATGTTACATAGTTTAAACACAATCATCTGCTAAACAAGAGTGGAGTGATATTGTATGCATAGGGCACACACCTCTTGCAGGCTAGTGCAAATCAACCCACCCACAAAAAGTAAACAAATGAATAAAACCGGTATGTGCCTCTGCCTTAAACAAAAGGGAAGTCAGTGCCATTCATTATTCACAGTACCAATTATCCGCCCTCTATGATTGATATTGGATTATATAACAATTGTTTTAGTATTTCTTAACCTTTATTGGTTGCTTTTTCACCAGCCTTCGCAACACTTGGAAAAACGCTGCAAAAGGCTTTTGCAGCGCAAAAGCCTTTTTTGGTGTAGTGTCTTCTCCTACAATACTGGAATATCTAACCCAAATAAAATAAAATAAATGGATTGAGTGATCAAATAATCTTATGGACTTTATCGTGATTAACATGGCTAAAGTGTAAATAGGTTTCTATTGTCTAAATGATCAAAGATAATATAATATAATAAAATTTAGTCAATCTTCTTTTTTTTTTTAAAAACGTAAAAATTTTCGAAATGTTACATTAATAACCTTCGTGCTTTGCTAATGAAAAAAGCGAAAATAGGCAAAATGTTTTGTGCGCTTTTGTTTAGTAAATTACATCCAAGCTGCATTTGGAAGCAAGAATGTAAGAAAATTTATTGCACTCTTGTTTAGTGTTGGTTGTATGATTTTGACAATTTTGCTTCTTTTTGAAATTTTATAAAGGATTTCTTTCCAAATATGTTATAGTTTTGGAGGTTATCGTTAAGTTAAATTCTTGTTGTATTGTTTTATGGATATGTTTTTGAGTTTTTATCAAGTTAGTCTCTTTTTTATGATACAATGTGGTTCAATTTGAGCATTCAAATATCTTATTAATGTTAGCATATGGAGAGTTCACATGTAGCTCTTATGAAACCCATCTGTCGAGATAAATTGTCATCTCGACAGTTCTGCTCTGAAATTCTTGACAGTTGATTATTGTTTGTCAGCAATTATGATACAATAGCAAACTTGTTTTAGTCAAGCGTATAGCTCGATTGTGTAATTGTTATTATTTGTGTATTGTAATGATGATTGAGTTTAGCTAAATTCAACCAAGTGTATAAAATGAATTGGGTTAAATTTTTGTAATTAATTTAATTGCCCTGTGTGAATTACATTTGTACTGTCCCGCATCCACTAACAATGAAATTGATGCTCAAGTTTACCTAGAGTAACTATTAATTTTTCTTTTTTTTTGAATTAAATCTAATGAATGAGGTTGGTTATTTATTAATTGATTACACCTATAAATGACCAACAACTAATGTAAGAATAGTACAACAAATCTAAGGTTAAATCACGAACAAATAAGTATTACACATACAATGAATGTCATCATTGTAATTTATAAAAAAATCACATAAATCATTAAAACGGACTTGAACATTACATGCTAGGCGCTCAAAGTTTCTCCATCAACTGTAGGACAAATCCATGCTAAAATGATATTATTTGGAACTATGATTGAAGTGGTTGAGTTCCCTCGCCACTTCCATGCATAATCTACGTCCATAAACTGTTCTCCATGCTACACAATGAATCATAAAGTATCACTAATACTTGAAATTAAGCAAATTGAGTGGTAAGCATTCTGCACAAATTTAATATATCGGATTTTACATGCATACATGAGGCACCTACGAATAAAATCTATCGGACAGTTGCATAATGGTTATATGAAAAGTTACAATGTCTATCCTGACATTTACGAAATGTCTAGATTGACATTTGAACTGTTGGTCTTGACGGTTAGCAACGGTGAGATCGCATTTAAGGTGTATGGTGGTAGACAAAATAATATTTTTTTGGTTAAAAATTCAATTATTCATTGTATAATAGGTAGATTAATTGGTGTCTTCATCAACAAGCTAAACATTGCCCCCCGAGGCATAGCTCATTGGTGCAAAGGACATGAGTGAAGTAGTCTCAGTTGAACTGGCAGTCGCAGTGTGAAGGTTTGATTCCTACCTCTTACAAGATATGAAATTGAACTCTTTGTGGGCACCAGTATGAAAGCTCCTATACCCTGACCTGTTGAGACACATCCCGCAATAAATGCATGTAAAAAATATCTAGAAGGGTAAAAAAGACATTTTTGAGCCCCTTTTAAAAAGTGACGAATTTTGTGTCCATTGATATTGTAGGGATGTTTATGCAAAATCCCTTTAAAAATTTTGGACTATAATGAAAGGTTGCCATAATCAAGTTAACTCGGTTGCTAAGCATTGACAGAGAACTGAAGAAATCTAAGTGGACATCTAATATTTTTAATTTTTTACTATCTTTTATTTTGCTCATGCGTTTTTTGGAAACCTATCTTTTCAAAGATAAACAAGTTCAAAGGTGAGAATACTTGTAGAAACAATTTTGTATCTTTGTTTCAGCCGTACTTGTCTTCCTGAGAATACTATTCTCAAGTAATTGTAACTATTCTTTATATCATGCTTTAGGTTGTGAATCTCATTGTTTGAACAATTAATCCCCACTTGGGATTAATTCACAGGGGCTCAGATCACTCACATGGTGGACCCCACAATGTATTAAAAAAATTATGCATAGACGCCACATGTGTAAGTGCCCTACAAGAGACCTGTTTCCAAGTGAAGCATGATTCTTGTTTGAATCTTACCATTTTCAAATCTTCCAAGAGATGAAAAACTAGAAATTTTCAAGGACATTGCTAAATCAATCTGACCGGTCTTCCTTCAAGAGACTTGAAATTCTTCAAAGATAGCACTTTGAATCTTTCATTAACATGCCTACCTTTTTGGCCGAACTTTGAGACTCCGATAACTTGAAATCTTCAAATACAACTTTTTCTTTTTTGAAAAAAAAAAAAAGTACAGATTGTATAAAATCTGTGTTGCTGGATTTGAGGTTACCAATTTATGAAGGTAAAATCAAACAAAACATCGACAAGCTCACAAATGGAATGAGCAATTTTTCTTTAACTAAAGTTGACAGATTCTATCTCTAACCGCTACATCTTCGGACTCGCACACAATTTTCATAAGATTGCGGTAAATGGAGGCTTGAGAACCCCATCATCAGGGTCGAAAGGGCAGAGACATTACACTATTCTTTAACTGAAAAGAATCCGATAACAGAGAGAGAGAAACCGGAAGGTGAACTTTTCCTTTTGGCACAAATTGCGAAAAACAAAAATAAATATAAAGCCATATTTGAGTATGATAAACAATATAAATTTGGCATCATTATTTAGAGGAGGTTTTTAGTTAAAGCGATGGTCGGTGGAAGTTAACCATGTAGTTAAACTGTATGGATACATGGGAGAAGAAGTACAAATTCTTCTGAATTGCCAGCGCATAGATAGCTTAATTTAGAAAATAAGAAATTAACTTACATTAATTAATTTTTTGACACTGGTTGTGAATAAAGTCTCTGAGTTGAGAGATTAGATCACCAGATTCAGGAAGTTCAGGAAAAACATAAAAGGCATGGATCATGTTTGGGTACTCCACCAGATAGGCTTCTTTCCCGTTGTTCTTTAGCCACTCGTAGTACCTTCGTTGCCAGTCTTTGAGAGAATCGAAGCCAGCCACCACCACCAATGTGGCCGGAAAATCCAATACAGAAATGTTGGCTGCATTCTTCCCACTCACGTTGATAACCTCATGGTCTCTGTTCATTCCTTCCCCTTCCGGCATAAATGCATTCCACATCCAATCCGTTCGACTCACTGATACGAGTAGATCGACCCCTGCTAATTCAATCTCAGCCTCGGTACGCTCCTCGCCTCCAAAAAATGGTTGTATAGCCATCAGTCCTATTATCTTCACATCGATACAAAATATAGGAAAAATTGTTAAAAAATTCAAACAATAAACATTTTATTTTCCCTAAAATTCTTTTCAAAGGACTATACCTTGATGTCCTTAAATTTGGACTCACATGCCCGTTTAGCCACGTGATGGGCCAGATTTGCTCCGGCACTATCTCCGGCTAAGAAACAACGCGACAGATCGGCGTTCTCCGGCAATAAGCTCTTCTCGCCGACAAGAAACTTCAGAACATCAAACCCGTCCTCGTACTGAGCCGGGTAACGGTGTTCCGGAGCCAGCCGGTAGTTGACGGAGACTACGACGGCAGGGAACTTGCAAGCGAAACGGCGGCAGACGATGTCGTAGGACTTCACATCCGGGCTGAGATAGACGAAACCGCCCCCGTGAAAGAAGACGACAACGGGCAACTGAGAGTCACCACGTCCAGTAAATTGTGTGGGTACGAAGAGGCGGAACCAAAGGTTGCGAGAGGAGTCGATAGTGATGTCGGAAGTCCAGACGCCTTTGATAGGATTGGAGTTGGCCGGCGTTCTGATAACGGATTCGAAGAACCTGAGGAGGCGGCGGTTAACAGTACCGTCACGGCGGCGAGAGGCATCGTTGAATTTACTGATGATGGATAACTGGATGCGCGTCCTCCAGGGAAGCTCCGGAGATGACGGTGGCGCAGCCATGATAAAGAGTAATAAATACGACAGCTTATAAGTGTGAAAAAATATATCAAAATAATATGTGGATCAGTGGATGCCAGTGTTTTGCCCTGTTTGGCCATTTAATTATAATTCATTTTTTATATCTTTTTATCAACCACACATTATTCAATAAAATAATATTACACGTAATATTAATTTCATTTCTTTTAACCACATATTTTTCAAAAACGCACTATTCCAACTATTAAAATTTCGAATAATGAAGGCCAAATAGGGGCTTAAGACAATATAATAGACTTGAAATGGTAAATATAGAAGAGATTATGTCCTCTAAATAAAATTTTTATAAATTTTAAAATTCTTCTAAATTTAACTCCCGTTTGACCTCCATTAATTTATAATATATTTTTTGTCTCTTTTTTTTAGTCTAACATTCTCTAATAAAATAATATTACACATAAACTAAAAACAAAATTTTTTTTTTCTTTTTTAAACACACGTTTTCCAAACAAACACTATTTCACAAATTTTAAAATCAAGTATCCTCGTTAACTCATGAATTTATAAGTGTTTTATCAATAAAAATATTTTAAAAGATTTGGATATGTTTCAAGTTTTAAAAAATATATATAACAAAATTTTTTTTAAATAAAACTATTTTTAAATAGATTTTTATGGATTTTGTTGAAATCTATTCAAATCCACAAAATTTATTAGGATTTATAATCTTTTAAAATCCATAAAAGTATCAATTGAGAATAAATCTTATCTAGTATTAGTGTTGTATGATCCACTTTTAACTGTTGAATAAATCTAAACATTTAAGGGCTTTGACTATCATCTAATTTGATGTCAAATAACATTTTTATTTTTATACTATGAAAGATGGTTGTTGTCGATTTATATATTTTGTAAGTGTACGGATCGTAATAAGTAATATAGTGGATCAATGAGTCCGGATATCGTTTCCACGAGAACTAGTATCTAACAATTGGTTAAATTATTCCTAACTTTAATTTGATCGAAAACAAATAACAAAGTTTGAGATTGGCGTCTAAATAACTAAACTAAATTGATCTAATGTACACAATTTATCGAATTTGGGTTTTAAAAGTATAAATGTGGATACTAGGACTTACAATTTTACTTATGGATCCCCTTTAATTCGTCAATCAAGATTTATTACTATTGTAGTGTTCGATCGAATTTTTTTAAAGTATTCAATGTACCCCTCTTGAATTCTCATTGAATCTATTTAACTAATTTAATTTATATCTCCATGTGAATCAATCTTATTTAAAGGAAAATATTAGTTATAAGAATTTATCTAATGATCGCAATAATTAGTATAGATATCTCTATACGTTATACTAAATTATCGAATTTTACTATAGGGTCTAAATCTAAATCTCATAGCTCAATTCATAATAGATTCACAAAATCATTGAATAATTGGTAAAATAATTTAAAGCATTAAATTCATTAATAAAATTAACACACACACATTTAAAGAACTAGAATTCTGAATAAAAGAAATAAAAAATCACACATAGATTATATTGTTCGCACTAACTATGAATTTAGCTACTCATAATAATGAAAGAAAAATAAAAAATATAGAATTCATAATTGGGTTTTAAAATCTTGATCATGGATAGAATTAAATCTTGCACCAAGTATCTTTTTCAATCTCAAAACTCTTCAAAACCCTAGTTTTTGCCCTTTGATCATGATGATTATATGTTTTTCTCCCCCTAAATTGTGTGGATCTCCCTCAAATGTGTCAACAATTTGTATTATACTCCTCTCCATGTTTGCTTTGAATATAGGGTTCTATGCGCTTCAAAACGGGTCAAAATGCGCCCTAGATGCATCGGCAGCGCTTCGGCGCCTCGACTCTGTATTGGAGTAGCACCACCTTTCGGGTGAAAATCTACATTGTACTTCTTTCAATATTTTTATCATAACTTTCTCTCATAATATTCGATTAAGGAGATTCAAATTGTATTGCAAAGATAACTCAAATGGTCACAACATTACTAGAAATAACATTTTTCCAATTCGAACGTTTACTAGGTCAAAATGTGTCTCATTTTTTTGGCTTAAAATCTGAAACACCTTTGTGCTGTTGAAAATTGATTTGTGAAAATATTTTGTCATATTTCACAACTTTTTACTTGTAATTGCATCCAATTGACTCCTAACATTATCGAATTTTCATCATGAACTTCGACACAACTTTTGTTACACTTTAATCCCCAAACTTTAGATTTTTTTTCTTTTTTTCGCCAATTTTTACTTCTTTCTTTCAAATCAACTTCATTTCATCGAGTCTTACCTAATAAACGAAATATAAAATAAATTAGCCTATAATTACTCCAAAAAAATTTATTAAATATCTATATTTTTAAGTCCAAATAAGTGTATAAAATACACTTATCAAATACCTCCAAACTTAAACATTTATTTGTTATCAAATAAAATCATAACATAACTTAACAAACTCACAAACACGCAAAAGGTTTTAAATCAGTCATTTTATCTCATGATTGAATCATTATATTTAATCTATAAAAAATTTCGAAGTCGTATTACCAAAATCAATATCTAATTTTTCAATGCAAAATTGGGGTGTGCGTGAGTGTGTGTGCATGAGTGTGTGTGAAGAATTAAGTAAAACACTATAAATTCATGAGTTGTTTCAATTCCAAACCCTCGATGGTCCAATTTTTACTTTTATCACTCGTAAGATTTACACACTCCCAAATTTATTCTTTTTTACTCTTTTTTCGTGTGTGATCTAATGCTGAATCTTTATACCAACTTTTCACCCTCTTTTGTATAGATGGGTCTCATTAATTGCAAGTTGATATTTCAACAAATAAGGATTCTTCAAATTTTGATTATTTAAACATCCAATACTTAACTAAGCTAACAATATCTTGTCAAAGATCTAACTTTCTCAAATAAGTGTTTTAGGACTTAATCAAGGCATATATTATGTAAATATATAATAATTATTATTTTTTTATCTTATATGCAAATTTCTCTTCATTAAACTTTCTAAATGATTTTGTAGCGAGTTTTAGGCTGATGATTCCCAAATCAGAGGAACATAGGGCACCATATTTTTAGATATTCTTGCAGACTTATTCACTCGAGTCATAAAGGCTAAGAAGAGACGTTTCACAATGAGATAGCTTTTTTTTTTCTCTTTTTACTTTTTTTATGATTAGTGCAGTGCCCCTTATTAAACACTCATTCTAAAAAATCGACCTCTAACTTAAGATTTCACATAATTTTCATCATATTGACATAGAAAATTCACACAATAATTTACACACATGGAATCCACATTCATATTCGTATCTCCCAACAACAGTAAAATCACCCCTAAACTAATCTAAATATGGTCGAAGGATATATATTGTAGTAATTTTGGGTTTAGCATCTAAATTATACTATTTCAACATATTAAGCATATGAATCAACTCATTACTTTATAATACTGAACTTAATACATGTGCGCAAATAGCATCAAGTTTTACATGAATAAGAATTAATTAATCTAAGTATGTAACATATCAACGGATCGTAAATTAATACATAATTCCAAATATATTTATTGGGAAAGCTACATAACCCACACTAGCACACAATTAAAAAAGATTTTTTTTTTATTTTAAATTTTTTATATATAATAAATAAGTAGAAACACACAATCACATAAGAATTATAAAACTAAAAACTCTATTTCTTTTTAGTAGATATTGTCCTCAATATTTTAAAGTCTAGTATAGCACATGTAGAAGACAAATATAAGAGTTAAAAGACAGTTTAAAAGTAATAATGTGATGTTAATGATAACCAAATTTTTGTTTCTGACGTCCCTTAAGCTTTGAAAAAGGTGCCACATATCTTTTCCTACTGTTTTTTATTCAAATATATGATTTTCTTTTAATAGGCTTAATATCGATATGATGACCATCCTTATTGAAAAAAAACATGCCTAAAACTAATGTACCTTAATAGGCTATATGCAATGTAAATGTAGAAAGTATAATAAATAAAATGGTAAGAGATTGGGTTGCCTCCCAATAAACGTCTTTAGCTAGACTTTTGCACAAGTACTTCATGGCACTTTGAATGTAGTTTTAGAGATTCTGCTTAACTTGCTTAATTTGACATTGTTCCATATTTCACAAGTCCTCCAAAATCGTACTTTGCCCTTTTGAATAAGGCATGACTTGCCTAAATTGCTCAATTTGAACTCAACTAAGAATACTTCAATTTCCTCATTGACTTTAATCACAAAATCAATGAAGTTGGAGGTTTTCATGTTAATCCCATCTTCTTTGAATGCCAATAATTCATTTGGATCCTTCGTGATTAATCAAATAGTTTCTATATATTCTTCTTCTTTAGTTGGTTCCTCACATTGAATAATGAAGAGATTCTTCATTAGCATGTTATTTGACTTATCTGAAATAACTTGATATTCAATCCGTTTATATTTTTGCATGATGATGTCTCTCGTAACTATTTCACCATCATCATCTTGTTTTTTATATGGATCGTCGAAGATATCTTTCCTTACTTTCTTGGGAGTTGCCAATAACAAGCAATTTTTAGTATAAAGCTATTCACCACAATATTTACAGTTCTGACTAATCTCCCCATAAACAATAGATTTGACATTTAGTCATTTTGGAAAGCCATCCTTAACAAATACAATAGGTTGATCGTATCCACACTTTTTAAGTTCTTGTCTAAAAAGGAATTCTCCAAACAACATATCACCTTCATTTAAGTCAGGATCAATCATTGTGATTTTTTGACATTTTGCCACTTTTCAGTCCCTGCCAAACGAGTAAAGAAAAAAATGTAGATCAATTGAAAAGAAAGAAATAAAAAAAAATCAAACAAAAAAAGAAATAATTAAAACCAATATTAAGTAAAATAGTCCCGACAACGGTGCCAAAAACTTGTTGTCGATTTTTATATCCTACAAGTGTTCGAAT